CCCGCGCACACCCTCCACAAGTTACCATTGGGATGTTTTCTGGAGACACAGGTGCAGTCTCTACCCCTCTCTCCGATAAATGACGTGAAATCCTTAATATTGCTTAACACTGAACACATGTGACACTGCATTTTTACAACTTTAAGTTAATTGAACTAAAAGATTAAAAATAGCAATGACTTTTAGTACATGACCTTCAGATGATACTTTCCCCACTGACGATGACGATGAAGTGAAAATGGCTTATCCACCTTCCTTATAAACAATAGCTAATATAATAAAAGAAGACATTTTCATAAGCCGAAATAACGGTCTGCATGTCTAGGTCCAAATGAGCCTCTAAACGGTTTAGGGTTTTGAAAGCTACCTGATCCTTGTCAACTGAAAGATTAAATCCATTTTCTTCCCATCATCAGCATAGAAACACAGTACTTATAAAAAAAATCACAGACTTGTTGACTTGGCTCCATTTGGTTTCATAATTTGTGATCCTCTACTTATTCCTCTTAGTCCGTCAGCCTGAATCTAAAAACCCAAACGGGAGGCAGAAAGACAGTGCTGTTCTCAGGCTGCCCATCCTTACAGGGCTCTCACCGAGTGATGACTAGTCACATACAGTGAAGGCATTACCAATGTGCTTGAAGAAATAAGCATTCTGTTGAAACACAAATTAATTTGCACGTCTGAAAATAATTTTCAACATCAGCATGTTACTCACTGTCCTCGGGATGGGTGGAGAAAGAGATCCATTTGACATGTACGGGTCGCTGTTCATATTTGGCATCATTATGTAGCTAGAATAACTGGAGTAGGAGGGTCCCTTGTTGTACAGGCCTCCATCTGGATGCTTTCCTGGGAGAATCCAAAGGACAATCAAATTTGCATCGACTTTCCTTCTATATCACACTATTGTCATCAGGAAATCTTTTGCTCCTAAGACAAGCCAGGCTTTACATAAAATATTTGTTTATAAAATACTGTAACTGGATTATTATGCTCTATTTTGGATTGACAGTATTTATGCTCTCCAATGGCTTAACAGCAAACCAGATGTTTAAAAAACATGTGGTTCAATTTACTTCCACTACTGACTGATGTTTTTACAAAAATAAGTGTTATTCATCTAACTTAATTTGTACTAATGCTAACAAACTGGACTGAGCAATACGGAAACCCAAGGGAACACACACAAACTTAAAACCTGTTACATGTGAGGCCATCTACCCCCCCAACACACACACACACACACACACACACACACACACACACACACACACACACTTATACATTTGATGTCTCCTTCTTTTAGACAAACTCAAAAGTTCCACCTGTGCCTCTGGATTTTTTTTTTATCAAACGTTAGATTTTCCTGAAGGAGAAAACTGGATCTAGTGTACGGTTAAAATCCAAATTTGTAGTGAATTAACCTTTGGAAGACCTAATTTCATGGCTAAACTTATGTCAGTCTGCCAAAGAAATGTCCCTTTACTTTTAATCTGTATAACTATTTGTTGCCAAGAAGGAAGGCTGATATACAGCTTTCTCCCTGCCCCTTGGTCGACACACTGAATGTACAAACATTCCACTCTAGACAGGCCAATTGTTAAGTAATTGAAGGAGACCAGACATGCCAGCTGATTGACAACTGAACCCTACCGTGAGCTGATTAAACTCAGAGCAAAGAGGGAGCGTGCACGTATGTGTGTGGGATTTTTTTTTTCTGAGTATTGAAAAGAATCAGCAATGGGAGAAACGCCTATCAGTTGATAGGTGTAGCATTTAATATTTTTATATTTTAGAAGCTAGGTTCAGTTTTACTGAGCTCTGATCCCTCTGTCCGCACAGTGCCTTCCTCCTCCCCTGTACTGAGAAACTACACACAGCAATTTTGCAAATGAAAAATTCTAAATCGTTACTGTTGAAAAACATGCTTCAGAAACATTCCTTCTTCTCTGAGATTCTGGAAGCCAAGAGGAATCCAGAGGCCTAGGCTCATTCAAGGACTGGTTCTCAATGAAAGAGAAACTGAGTTTCTGGGCTTTCTTTCCTACTCTGTCAAAAAGGTCGTACATGGATGGGCACAGTCTTGCATATCTGGTCCCAGCCTACTGAACTCCAATGGAAGTATATCAAAACCAGATACTCAAACTGCACATGCCCTCCCTCTGGTAGAGTGGGGAGAGAGAGAATCTGGCCTCTTACCGTCATCGGGGTGTTCTCTGGCCTTGTCGTGGTAGGAATCCTGAGCAGGCTGTGCTTGTCTTACCACCTAATGGCGTGGAGAGCCACCCCCAAAAGAAAGAAGACAGTCTTAGTTTGTAACAGTAAGGGTGTGTCTGCTGGTCATCCCAAGGAAGAGGTTTAGGTAAAACTCCGTCTACCCATTTGATTAAAAGTAAGGACAGGGCAGGCTTGAGTACTGGAAAAATCTTCTTTTCAATGTGTGTGTTTGAGTGGTTATTAGGTACTCCGGATCAAAAGGTTAGAATGGTGGCAAAAAAAAAAAAAAAAAAAAAAGTGAATTTGGGGATGACGTGTCCTGCTCTAACAACCCATCCGTGCTTCCTGGGTGCCCCAACTTCTAAGATGTGTTAGCCTCTTCAGCCTTGGTTCACTTTGACAAGATCTGATTAAATGCCACCAGAAACACCATATTGTAACTGAAAACGAGATCCGGAAACATAAACAAAACAATCCCTTTGCTGAGGTCTTAGGGAAATTGTTTAAGAAGCAGTCCTAGCTGGAACTGCATTCAAGCACAACTTAAAGGCTGAATGCTAGCAGGCTATGAGAGGAGAGCTGGTCTGTGGTTAAAGGGAGGGAAAACTGAGAGTCGGGTTGTAGACATCTAAAAGGTAGCCCAGTTAATGTCAGTTTTGGTAAGCGCCACCGACCCGACTCAACCACGTGCAAATCAGCGGTATGACCCCTTCACCATCTTCCGTGAGGCTGAGGCTGCTTGCTCCACTTGCACCGCGGAAAGATGGTCCGTTCAAACTCCCAACCCAGTAGTTCTCGGTTTCCAAAGCACTGCTTTTCACCTCTGACCAGTAAACCGTGGAAATGTGAGGTGGATGGAAATCTGTGGACTACTCTAGTACAGAGAGGCCACTCTACCGTCTGGCAAAAAGCCCCGGAGTTTAGATGGTATTTGATTCTTTGAACCTCTGTCCTCCAGGCGACCTCATCCTTCAGGCGCACAGAAACCTTATTTACCTGATTTTGACTGCACCCTAGCCGCCCTCCTCTACCTTTTGCTGAACTTTGGGAATAGAGAGCCCCCTTATATTCTAGGAACCAGCACCCCCCCCCACACACACACACACACAGCCTTCTCAAACGTGTACTCACCCCTGCCATCGGGACAGAGAAGGTAACTCTGAGGTGTTCTTAAAAGAACTCTTTAAACCCAAAATGTCCCCGCCCCCGAAACCACCCTTTCTTTGGGGTGGGGGCAGAAGGCTGCCATTGAAGGAAAAGGGTATAGTCTCCACGTTTCTCTGGAAGGAAAAAACGTTGGGGACATCATTTGGGTATCAGAACTTTTCGACTGGATGTCCCCGTGAGGTTTCCCCAGCTGCTGAGCCGGAGTTGCCGGTGAGGTGTGGGCTTTGGGGTATCTACGCCCATCCGATGCTCGCGCGCGGCCCGGCTCTCGGCTCCCTCGCGCCGGCACCCACGTGTCTCTATTTACTCTACTCGGGTTACCAGCGCCGTCGCCTGCAGCTGGCCCCCAGATCTGATAAAGCGTGTCCCTCCTCCCCAGCCGCGGCCCGGCTTCCGCTGCCGCCGCCCCGCTCTCGGGCTCGCCTTTCTTCTGCAGAGATCCAAGGCCTGCCTAAGCCCAAATAAACGCCTTTCTTTCCACTTTAAATGCCGGGGTTGCGGGCGGAAGGACTGCGGTGTCTTATGCTGTTGGGTGGCTCGGGTCGGCTCGCCCACGGCTCCCCGCAGCAGCCTCGCCCGCTGTGGGGACCCGGCCCCGCAACGCCCCCGCAGTTGGGGCGCGCGCCCTACTCCGCGGCGGTTGGGAGGGCCCCTCCTGGCCGGCCCACGCCCGCCTCTCCTTCCTCCCGCCTGGGGCTCCGCTCCTTGGAACCTCGGTGGTTTAACGCACTTTTGCACACTGTACCGAGAGAGCTAGCGGATGCACTTTGTTTTCCGCCCCGGGATGGACTTCGCAGTCGTGCTTAGACATCCCTGCTTTTAATGCATCGCTCCCCGCAGCCCCGCCGAAACGACGGAGGGCGAAACGGGTCGGGCAAAGGCCACCGTTTCCTGCCCATTCACCGCCATTTAGCCACAGACCCACTTGGACTAAATTTCCTTGCCCGCCGCTCACACACGTGCGCGCCGTGGAGTAGGGGCCGTTATTCCCCGCCCAGCCCGCGAGGGACCACAGTGGCCGCGCGCTCCGCTGGCTTCCATCTCGGCGTCCCCGGGACCCGCCACGCCTCTCCGGACAGCGGCCCACTCACCTCATGCCCGTTGCTGGCTGGGATGATTTCGGACTCGTTAACCAAGGAGGACTTGATGTCGGCTAAGTCGCCCTCCTCTTCGGGGTGACTGATCTCGGCGAAGATCTTCTCCTTCTGAGGATCGCCCTCATCCTTGAAGGGGATCATCTCATCGGTGGCGCAGAGTTCCGGGTCCCCCCCGCCGCCGCCGCCTCCGGAGAGTTGGGGCATCCCGGCGGCTCTGTAATCTCCGCTCCGCTGCGGGAGCACTCGGCGACGGCAGGAAAGGGGGGTCGATGTGAGGTGTGTGTGTGTAGGTTGGGGTGGGGGGGTGAGAGTTGTGGGAGGACTGCGAATGGAAGCGGGGTGGGCAAGCGAAGGGTCCGAGGCCGGAACAGCTGCGGGAGCCGCCGCGATGGTCGCGCTTCCCCACTTCACTGAGAAGGACGCCGGCGCCCGGCCCCGGGGCGAAGGGCACCAGACTGCGCGGGCGGCAGCCGCCGGCGCCTCTGAGAGCGTCTGCGGCGCTCCGCGTGCGCTCGGCTAGGCTGCCAGGGCCGGGCGGCCGCCCCGCCTTGCTGGGGTCTGTGCACCGGGGACGCCGGTTCCGGAGAGGACACGACTTTCCAAAGTGCAAAGGAGGGCCCCGTGGCGCGTCGCCGTGCAAAACTTCTCCACCGTGGATTCTTCAGATGCCTTTTTCGGAGTTGGTTTTTCGAGGAGAGCTGGGCCAAAAGGCTCCGTTTGCCCCAACAGAGGTGCGAGGAGACTCAGAAAATACCGAAAAGTCCACTTCCTGGAGGGTAAACAATAAAGAGCAACCCGGGCTGCAGACGTCCGTGTTAGAGCCTCTTTCCTTCCCTTTCGCTTCGGTTTTCCTTCTGGAGGAGCATTTAATCTGCTGGGGGGAGGGGGGGGGCGGAGGAGGAGGGGAGAAAAAGAGAAGTTTGCCAAGAATAAAGTTTGTGCTGATGAGCGCTGGGAATCGGCAGTGGCTGGCACAGCGGAGTCTTGGGGAGTCACAGCAGGAGCCTCGGGCCCAAATGTTCCAGCCCGCAGCTCGGGCCGATACACACACACACACACACACACACACACACACACACACACACGCACGCACACACACAAGCCCGATCCCTCTTTGTTCCCGGCTCGAGTTTCTGCCTGGCTCGCTGGCGCTGTTACTCGCCTCTTTCCCCGCCTCCCCTCTGTCAAAGCAAAGAGCTGCCGGTGGCCCCTCGGCTCCTCCAGGCCGACGGGAGGGGAACACCCGGAGCGTGGCCGCCTGCAAGGCTCCGGGGGAGTCCGGATGCCCGGGCCCCCGAGAGCGCAGCCGGGTCCCTCCGGTGCGCGCTGCCCAGCAGGTGAGCGAGCGGTTGCGCCTTCCCACCGCTTCTCCTCGCCGCGCCTAGCCGGCGCTGCAAAGCTATTCACTTGCGTCGCTTCTCCTCCCCCGCCCCTCCCCCGCCTCCTGCTCTCCTTGGCTGCTGACTGGAGGGGTGGGGAGAAGGGAGTCTGCTAGGAGGAGGAGGAGGAGGAGGAGGAGGAGGAGGAGGAGGAGATCCAGGTTCTCCCCTAACTCTGTTCATTTCCCAGCACCTAGAGGACGAGTCATAGTTTGGGGGGGCGCCGTGGGTGTGCATGCATGCATGCGTGTGTGTGTGTGTGTGTGTGTGTGTGTGTGTGTGTGTGTGTGTGTGTGTGTGTGCGCGCGCATGCTTTCATGCCTGGAGGGGGGAAAAACGCAACATGGAGAAGGACCCGGTGCTGCTTGTAACCCACCCCAAAGCACGCTGTTGCCGGGGTGAAATAGACAAACTCCACCTGAATGGCTTAACTTCATCATCTAAGCATCCCTTCTCTTGCCCCCACTCACTCCTGTCCTTTGCCAGTCTCTCTCCCACCTCCTTTCCACCGCCCACTCTAGCCCCCTCACTCCGGCAAGGGGAGGAAGATGAAAGAGAAAGCCGCCGGCGCTGTGGTCGACACCACGTTGATAGATGCTCTGACAGAGGGAATGAGGCGAGAATTAGGGACTAGGAGAAGGAAAAGGAGAAAATGTAACACATTGCTCACCTAACCAGAGAAGAGACGCAGCAAGCACCAGGAAAAGAGTTGTGGCTGCACTAAACGTATACTACCACATGCTCTTCGGAGACAAGGGGAAATCAAATCTCCAGGCTTACCAGGGGGAACAGGACCGGGAAGAAGGGAGTGAATGAAGACTGGACCTTAATTATCGCTTTTAAAACACTACTGCTTTCATTGTGTCCTTACCACCGGATGGACGTGGGTTTTCGGATATGCAAGACTCAGTGTGTAGAGACCTTGTAGAAAATGAAAATACATCCCAAAATGAGGGAGAAGAAGGACCTAGGAAAAGGAGGCATGCCTGCGCAGTTGCTGACATCCTGGACAAGAACGCTGAAAGGGACCCTTGAGAACGTAAATCCGAATCCAACCTCAAAAATCCCCCAGTTCCCACCGTCTCTTTGAGGCATTTCGTAAAAAGATAGGACTTTTAAGGGAGACGCTTTGGGAAAGTTACTGTGTAAGTGAGGCTTGCGTTTAGAAACATTACATTTTGTTCCTTAGCTCTCAACCCCGCCCCCCAAGTCAAGTATTCAGGCAAAAATTATTACACCAATGCGGTAGCCATCTGTAAAACCTGGGAGCCATAAACAAGAGACGGAAAGAATTGTATCCCTATCTTCCTTAAATTGAAAATAAAACACACAATTATGTGTTAGTGCCATTACATAAGAACGCTTAGGCAAAGATCTCTCTTTTAAAGGTGAAATTGTGGACTATTGGACACTGTAGACCTTAACAGTTCTTTAAGTAGGCATTTAAAACTTTGCTTATTGCTAACTACCAGTTTGGGAGCATGCTAAGAAGTAGTTTTCAAAGCTATTTATCAGTTCAGTTGGTCCCATAGGTAATATGTAATTAATATGTAATATGTCCCAGTCGGTCATATGTAAGCTGATAGATTTAGGAAGAATTAAGAGGCTGGTGAAAGAAGTCAGAATAACGAAAACTTTTTTAAAAAATTAAATAATCGACAAAGCTATGCCTTACAGAAGAAAATCAAAAATGGCATTTTACTTCAGGGTGTCAGGGAGAATAATAAGGAGGGCTGGGAAAAAATCCATTTTTATAGTGATGGTATGCAGCCTCCATTGCTGTTAGTGTGGTAAACTAGGAGAGGAGGACACAGTTTGACATTTACAGTTCCTGCTAACGTAAATTTAACACAGAATTCCTCCTCCGAGTGCGCCAATTTGACAGAGCAAAAGAACCCTGGAAGATGCAGCTTCATCAAAGCAGCCTGAGTAGATCAGTCCTTTTCATCAAACCCAGAGAGGGAGGGGGCAAGAAGAATGGCCAGAGGGTAATTTTTGAAAGCCAAGAGGAGATTAAATGACGACTCTACATCTTCCCTGTTTTAAGTGTTGCGACTAATTCGAATTCCCATTTTCTCCTTCGCGTTAATTATCTGGACTCTTGTGAGTCATACGGGGCTCAGCTCCAGGTGTCCCGGAGATTAGGAGCTCAAGAAGATGGGAAATTTTGGAGCAACACCTAGTGAGAACGATTTACAAAAGACCTGGGATAGGGGGCTGCGTTCGGTCCCTTGCGGTAACCCTCTTTGGAAACATTGGTTCTAACGAAAACACCTAATGGCCTCTCTCGGTATGCTTGGCGGTGAGTGGTCTGCCCGGTGTGCTGTCTTTAGCAGTGTTGCGACTCTTCAACGAGGCCACCCTTAAAAACCACGCGCCCACATGTTTTAGAGCTTTGTCGGTAAAGGAGGTTGACTTTTCCCTGTGAAGCCTGTCTGTCTTAAGAGCGAAAAGCAAGGCGATACAGGAGGGGCGAAGTAACCCCAGGAAGTGGTGTCTCTGGACTTCGCCTTCCTGGCAAAGGCATTGCAGCCGCCTGGCAGTCTCTCCTAATTCCTGTGGGGCTGTTATTAGCATAAGCAGCCGCTTCTTCGCTCCTTCGGGTAGGGCGAGTGGGATCCTAGGTCTGGGATGTGGTGGGTGCGGTGCAGAAGCAGCCCCGCCGCCCCCTTTCCTCGGATGTAGAGGCAGGTTGTTCGTGTGAACTCTAGCGAACCACTGGAGGTTGACTGTAGTAGGTTTACTCCTTCAGGATGTGGGTTTCAGGGGGCGTTTTGATGTGATTTAATTCCGACCGTGAAACAATTGCTAGGGGCTGGCTGCGTTGCTGTTGGCTTCTCCCCTCCTGGTGGCTTTGGGTTTAGTTTGGGAGCGAACTTGTTTAATATCAACACTTCCTTTTGCATAAGGCGCTGTCGCGGGTTCTGTGCCTGCGGGTTGGAGTGGGGATGGGGGCGGGTAGAGTAGAGGGGCGAGGCAACCAACCCCAGTCGGGACCCAGGCTTAGGGGAGCAGAGTTGGCCGCGCTGCTGCCCCGAGGTGAGCGTAGCCCAGTGCGCCACGGGGGGTGGGGGGGGACACTCAGGAGGAATGACTCACACCCACACCAGAAGACCCCCCCCCCAGCGATTTTGCTGCCAAGTGGAGTCCGCTGCAGACGGTCCAGAGTCCTTAATTACAGGGATGAGAAGCTCAGTGCCCCCGCACAGCCCTCTCCGCCCCCTCGGTCCTAACCCCAGCTCAGGCTCCGGGTCTTCCCTTTGTGTGGCCTAGACTCTCTGCCAGCTGCAACCTAGGTGGGATCCCAAAGGAAGGAGGTGGCGGGCCCTACGGAAGAGGATGCTCCGAGAGACAGCCGAGAAGGGACTAGAAAAAAACGAATTCATGTGATTCCAGGGGCGGAACCGAGACCCCGGTTTCCCACCCCAGCTTCGGCAGGGGGCTCAATCTGCGGGCACCTTCGGTTTAACCGACGTCGCGGAGAAGGGGGACGAGGGAAGTGGCAGTTTGTGTCCCAGGGGCTCTTCCGCCTTAGACAAACAAACCCAAAGCCCCTTCCTCCAGGGCCAGGGAACTCGTGGGACCGTGAAAACCTCCTTCTCCAATCCGGCGCCTGCAGACGCCCGTTGGCGTCTGTAGCCCGGCGCGGCCTCCCGGGCGGGCGGGCAACTGGACTGCGGGATCCGCGGCGCGGTCAAGCCCTGTGCGCCCCCCGCGCAGGACGAAGGGAGTCCCATCCACTCTGCTCGGTGGGATGTCAACCCCAGGCCTGAGTGCCAGCCCCAGCGCCGCCACATTGAGGAACCGAGGGTGACCGAGGGCAGAGACCGTGGAGCGGACAAGGGGGTGGTCGCAGGGGAACATAATGAGTCAAAGGGGGTCCAGAGGTCCTGCTCTGCACCGGAATGTCGAGATCCGGCACCGAGGAGCCCGTGTGACACGGGGACAGGGGGAGAGGGGAGGATGCTGCACGTGGACTTCGGTTCTGGAATACACGTGTCAGCCGGGGGAACCGCTAGTCTAGGGGGCTCGAACATCACATTCTTTTCCTCCACGTCTCAGAACTTTTCTTAATGTGGCATGGGCAGCGGCTTCTGGAGAGCACGCCCCTTCGGTCCCTCTCCGCGGTCCCTCCTGTCCCCGCGATCCGCGCCGGAGCCGGGACACGCGCGGAAGGGCCGCCCGCGCGCGCCGGGCTCGCCTTATATCGGCGGAGGGCGGCGCCTGCGCAGGGCCCGGCGCGGCGGCGCGGCCTTTGAAGTCGCGGCGGCTGCGGCTTTCATCCTTTCTTTTTTCCCTCTCAGGCCCCTTTGTGTGACTAAATTTGGCAAGAATATGGATCCCAGCCAGTCTTTCCACGTGTGCTCCCAGCTCCCAGCTGAGAAGGCCAAGGGTTCTCTTCCGGGTAAGGAGACAGGGAGAAAGATCAAAGAGTTTGGGGAGCTGGATCTGAAATGTGAATTGAAAATAAAAATCAAGCCTGGACACATTCCAGTTTCTAAAGCAAAACCAACCGTCTGCAGAGGCCATCTCGCTCCGGCGCTCTTTCTCTCTGCTCCTTTTTTTTTTCTTCTCGAAATCACTCGAGCACATGGGATAAAATAAAGACAACATGGGGAAGCACTTAGATTCTCCAGATTTTGTTTTGCAGTAATTTTATTAGGGAAAATATCTTGTTCATAATTACCGTTATGTGAGGCCAAATTTCTTCAGCCATAAATATTGTCTTCTTCCAGCATGCTTCACACTTTCTTCTGTGACCACATTTTTTGAGAAAGAGCGCTGACACAACACGTGTGCACGTACTGTTTGTGCACCCCTTTTGAACCCCTCGACACACGGCTACGGTGCACTGCATACTTCTTCCACAGACATTAGATTCTGGAAGACTGATGTTAATACCATTTTTAATCGCTTTCGCAGTTGGTCTCTTATGATTTGAAATGGTCCTCGTTGGTGGGTCTGCCCACAGGTTTCATACAAGAGACTCCACAGAACCGTGTGTGTCTATGGTGAAAAGCCTGTACGTTTTCTTCTCTGACACACTGTTTGAAAGACATCTGTACAGAGACATTTCCCCCAGTAATGTGATGCAGAGGCAGATATCCCAAGTCCAAGACAGGCCCTGCCTCCTGAGCAATGGGTGAGGTTAGGTCGGGCATCTACCTCTCACAGGCCTCATTTTCTCAGCAAATGGTTGTGTAGTAGTCTACCTTTCAGCGAGATAATGCTTGTGAAAATGTGCAAGGATGCAAGATGCTTCTTTAAGGGGAAAATCTGTTAATTGTAAAACCAAAATTAATAAAGCATTGGGAACTTTCACTACAGAGGAGATAAGCGTGTGTGTGTGTGTGGATAATGAACACATGGGTAAAGTACCTGGAAGAACAGAAGAAAGAACTCTGCCACAGTGGTGGGAAGGGGTGCCGAAAGGTACGCAAGAGATGTTCTGAGAAACAGGGTGAACCTCCCCAGAATCTGCGTTTTAGAATACGGCATCACAGGCCGCGGTGTGCTAACTTCGTAGTGAAGACCATGACCCAAGACTTGATGTGAAATGAGAGCGCCAAGTGTAGAACTTAGGACAGTTAGTTCACGTATGATACCAACTAACCCCAAGTCAGCTCAAGTGTGATACTGACTAACCCCACCAATGGAGTCATTTTTCTGGGCTGACTCCCAGCATAAACTCTTCAAAGTAGCCTTGTCCAGACTGATGGCGTGTGGTCGTGTGGTCGGGATGAGAATGTCCTGTGTTTCTCCTGCCTTTGCCCTGGCTGGGGGCTTCCCGGGCAAAGGCAACAGAGTCCTGAGATACTCAGCTTGCTGCTGCCTCCTCCTAACAGTAACACCCAGCTTCCCGATTTGAGGGGACTCCAGAGCAGTTTGGGTTGGCTTGACCTTAGGAGGCACCTTCTATTTGTATAACCCACCTTCCCAAAGTCACAGGTTAGAGGTGGGTGCCAGTACCTGGTCAACAGCAATCTTTCCGTTCCTCTCTTTCTTTCTTTCTTTCTTTCTTTCTTTCTTTCTTTCTTTCTTTCTTTCTTTCTTTCTTTCTTTCTTTCTTCTTCTTCCTTCCTTCCTTCCTTTCTTTTTTCCTCTCTTTTCTTTTCTTTTGTTTTTGTTTTTTCTTGAGACAGGGTTTCTCTGTATAGCCTTTGCTGTCCCAGAACTCACTCTGTAGACCGGGCGGGCCTTGACCTCACAGAGATCTGACTGCCTCTGCCTCTGGTGTGCACCACCACTGCCTGATTCCTTTCATACTTCTTTACAAATACAAACTTTTTATAATTTATTTGTTTTTATTTTGTGGACATTGGTGTCTCGCCTGTGCGTATGTCAGTGTGAGGGTGTCAGGTCCCCAGAACTGGAGTGACAGACCGTAGTGAGCCACCACGTGGGTGCTGGGAATTGAACTTGGGTCCCCTGGAAGAGTAGTCGGTGCTCTTAATGGCTGAGCCATCTTTCCAGCCCCCCATTTTCTATTTTGTTTTGTTCATTTGTTTGTTTTTCAAGACAGTGTTTCTCTGTGTAGCCTTGGCTGCCCTGGAACTCTGCTTTGTAGACCAGGCTGGCTTCAAATTCACAGAGATCCTCCTGTCTTTGACTCTGAGTTCTGGGATTAAAGGCCTGTGCTGCCACTACCTGGCCTCAGACACAAACTTTTGAAAATTTAGTCTTGGCCAGAGGAGGAATATCAGCAAAGCCCTGAGGGCTCTAGCTCTATATTGTTTGAGTGGGCCATGAGGAGGCCTTGGAAATAAAAATAAAAATAACAACAAAACTGGGTCTCTCTTTAAGAAAAGAAACTCTGAAGAAGGCGGCATAGCTGAGGGATATTGTGAATCTGTTTCCTCAGTGGACATGGTAAAGGAAGGCCTCTTGAATGTTGGTAAATGTGCCTCATAAAACGGTCAGCCTTGGTTTGGATACTGGACCTTCCAGGACTCTGTCTGCATTGAGCAAGCCCCTAATCCCTGGTTTGGGGCTAGAAGCCAAAGCCACAGCCTTCTTGCCTAAGGGCACCAGTGGAACCAACTGAACCATAGGGAGGGAGGTTAATGCAGAACAAGGTCATTAGTCTCATTGTCCACCCAGTTACTCCTAGCACACACTGACAGGGGTTTCACCTACTGGGACTTCAATGTGCCTTTGATGTGTGTGATCTATACGGTTTAGTGTTCCGGGAAAGTGCCTGACAGGCTCTCCATCCAATGCCTGGAACACACATCTCCACAGGCACAGCCTTGTACAGTATTGAACAGATTTTCAATGTGGGTCTCATCAGAGTCAATAAACTAACCTGGATGCCTGGGATGGAGCCTCCTGATTTTTATAGCATGACATGTTGCGGGGGGGGGGGGGGGGGGGGGGGGGGGGGGGGGGGGGGGTGGGAATCTTTATACTTAATTTGTACTTGTTTTCATTAGAAACTGGGTAACTGTTCCAAATTTTCAGTTATTTCTCAAAGGAGAGTGTCAGCCTGCCCAACATTTGATCTGGAGAAAGCTTCATTTTAAAGGTCTTTCTGTCCATAAAAACAGGCTCGCTGGACGAAATTATCTTTATTAATGTGTGTGTGTGTGTGTGTGTGTGTGTGTGTGTGTGTGTGTTTGCACGCACATGCAAAATTCTTTCCCTAGCTCTTAACTGTGTCTTGCTTGCACAGCTACACTTAAACTCAGAATATTCAGTTAGGGAGAAAATTCAGAAGGCTGAAGGTGCCAGTACAAATAGTTTAGACTACCAACATTGTCGTTTGGCTCAAGTAAACACTTATTTGGCAGAATGAGTCTAATTGCCTTATCTGAATTTGACTCAAAAGGTCCTGTAGTCCCACTCTGCCAATTCCAGCTCTCAAGCCCGGTTCCCTTAGGTTGAATTGGCAGAAAGCGAAGCGGAGAGATTAACTCCTCTCCTATCAAGTTAGGCAGTACATTTTTGACTGCCAGTTCTGATAGCTCTCCAGACTCCTAAATGCCTTTTAGGGCTCGACTGGAACAAGCACGTGGCCTTTGTTCTTCAGCTTCCCAGGGTAGCTTTTAGACGGCCTTCCTTGGCATTCCAGAGCAGATAATTGACCAGGAAGAAACTTCTGCTCCCATGGTAAACTCAACCCTTCCCACCTGTGGTAGACAACACACTGGCCTTCAGCTTCCACTCTGCTGGTCTGCATGCATGCCCCTCTGCACTTCACAACAAAGCCCTTTGTCTCATGTCTCCTATGCAAGACTTCCCAAGTGCTATGTTAACTGGTCGGCTGCTGCCTCTTCATACGGTTCTCCAGAAACGTTGATTCGCCAGTTGTGCGGAGCGCCTGCGCACGCGTCAGACTCCTGGGTCCTGCTCTTGTAGCCTCTGTACAGATGCTCGCAGCTGGGTAGACACTTCCAGGCCCTACGCTCCAGTTTCCTTCAGCCTCCCGCTCAGATGACATCATCTCAGACCTTGTCTGAAAAATAGGCACACCAACCCCGCCTTCACCCAGAATGCAGTTCTGGCGACTTTATATTCTTTCATGGGCTTTATCCCACTGCTACCCATCACTGCCTAGCATCTTTTTCATACTCACTTATCAGATTTCTCTCCCCTTCGAACATGCGTCTCATGAGACGGGCACTTTGTTTTGCTGTGTCTTCAACAGCGCGGAAAATAAACTAGAAAGGTAGGATAAAATTACCCAGCATGCACTTGGTAATAACCATAATTAACTTACCACGAATGGAAATACAATGAAAGATACACATGTAATTTTAAACTAAAAATCTAGAAAGCAGCACATTAAGTTAATTTTAATAATATAATTTACCTAAATCAAATATCCAAAATTTAGCTATCCCTCTGTTTCCAGGAGAGATTGG